TCACTCGCAAACCACACACCGTACCGCACCGCGCGCCCGCCCACCGCCCCGCCCAGGCGGGAAAGAGATGAGTGAGGGGATGGGACGACAGCGAAGGAGGAGCACACGAAACGCATGGGAGGGTAAAGTTGCGCAACAACAAACTCGCTCTCTTTTATGTCCCACCATGCAGAGCGCATCTCTCTCTCTGTTGTGCGAGGCGTGAACCGCGCCATTCGCTCTCACCTGGCAACCTGAGGGAGGGTGTATAGAGCTAGAGGATGTAGAGTGTAGAGCGCTGTAGAGATGTAGAGATGTAGAGCGCTCTGGAGCGCTGTAGAGCTGTAGAGAGCTCTACATCCGCCGCGTGACGATGCGCCTGCGTTGTAGAGCGATGTAGAGCGCGATTTTGCTGTAGAGTTTGTTGTAGAGGCTCTACAGCGCCAAACCGCCGGGAAGGCAGTGACTCAAAGAGGTCGAGTCGCACTAGTGGGGTGTCTCCGAGCTTACTGGAGCTCTGATGGACGGCGCCCTGACTATCCCTGACACACAGAGTCACTCCGACGGCACACAACACCCTATAACTGCGTCATGACCAGCCTGCCATGTGTCGCCGGTGCCCGCATTCATCGCAGTGCTTCTTTAGCAGGCGGTGGACTGTCGGCTGCGAGGACGGTCGCATTTGCGCGAGGCGAGGCGAGCATTGCTGCGCGTTGCATGCGCCATGACTCGCGCCAGCGCGTGCGGGAGCTCCTGGCTGAGCGTTGAGACAGTCCAGGCGAGTTGCGCTGGCCACGATCGCTACGCCAAGCCGAGCTGACGCGCCGAGGCGCCGGCCAGTCGCAGCCGTGAGGCATGCCACAGCAGCAGAGGCACCTGCCAGGACCCATTGGGCGGGCAGACAGAAGGCCAGGCGCATCGTCACGCGCCAGATAGGTAAGCGGTAGGGTAAGGTAAATTTCTCCACACACACACACAATGAAAGTGGTGGGGCAAGGGGGGGCGACCCTCGCATCATCTCCACACCCGGACAGTGACAATAGCCGGCCACCTGTGTTCAGTCTTCAAACGATGCATTTTCCGTCGCGCACACTGTCGCTGCGCTCACCTGTGATCTGTGTGCAGCCCCCAACCTTAATCCATAGCAGAGGCGTCGCCCGCCCCGCCCGTTTCCACCCGCCCGCTGTCCACCGCCGGCGAGGAAAACTGCTCGGCGGCGTCGAAGCGCGAGAAAGCGAAGCGCGTCTCGTACGGCGTCGCTACCTCATACAGCGCGGCGGAGCCCTCGATGGCGCCCTCGGCCTGCGCGAGTGTGAGTGAGTGACAGTGAGTGACAGTGAGTGACAGTGAGTGACAGTGAGTGACAGTGAGTGACAGTAAGTGAGTACGAGTCTCACACACACACTCGCCTGCGCGCGCGTCTGAAAACGCCCCTCCTCGGGATAGACGTCCGTCGCTCCGTGGCGTGGGCCCTCGGCCGAGAAGGCCTGTCCGATTATGCCTACAAACGGGCCGGCGGGCCTACTATGCTCCCGTAGCAGCCCCGCGGAGAGACGCCAGTGTGCCGGTGTGCGCTTGTGTGCCAGGTGCCACGCCCTTGCCGTGC